CGGTAGGCTAGGAATGTCGTAAGAATGTCGCACGGCGACGCAGTGAAAATGGTTCTCGAAAGCGCCCCAACAGGAACAAGAAGAAGAGGCGCGCAGCGGGCAAGGTGGATCGACCAAGTAGAAGGTGACCTGCGGACCCTTCGCAGACTACGAGGCTGGCAAAGTCTGGCCATGGATCGAGTAGAGTGGAGACGACTTCTTCGGACAGCAGAGGATAACAAGGCCTTAGCCCGATTGCAAGCCATAAAATTGATCCAAGAACGAAAAACCGTGCAACTGTGATATTAGAATGAATTTGGAGTCTTAACATAAACATGGAACCGAATGACCATGGGAAAGTCCTCCGGAAGATCCGTAAAAATAAACCTGGATGGCCATTGGAACGTCCTCCAGAAGATCCTGATCATCCGTAAAAGTGGATCATCGATGAAACTGTGAAAAAACCGTGGTTTTGTTTTTTCTCGAAAACTCTTGGAACTGCGATTTAAGATAGAATTTAGGGTCGTGACATAAACATGGATCCGGATGGCCATGAGACTGTCCTCCAAAGGATCCGGAACATCCGTAAATTTATCATACTGTGAAACTGATCGTAGAGCTCTGCAGTTCTTTTTAAAACACTGTGATATAAGAAACCTCTGGATCACTTTTACGGATGTTCCGTATCTTCCGGAGGACGGTCCTATGGCCATCCAGGTCCGTGTTTTTTATCTTTATTAAGGAGACTTTCAGTCCTGGGCTGGTTCGTCTCCGGTACGTGTTTAAGCCATGACCCCGAATTCTTTCTTATATCGCAGTTCCACATGCTTTCGAAAAAACCGTAGAACTCTAGGATCAGTTTCTAAGATTGACCATTTTTAAAGATGTTCTAGATCTTGCGGAGGACGGTCCCATGGCCTTCTGGGTACATGTTTATGTCACGACCGCAAATTAATTTATATATGACAGTTCCAAGTGATTTTGAAAGAACCGTGAAGCTCTAGGGTCAGTTTCATACAATGCCCACTTTTACGGATTTTTCGGATCTTGCGGAGGACGGTCCGATGGCCATCTGGGTCCACGTTTATGTCACGATCCCAAAATCATTCTAATATCGCAGTTCCTAACGTTTTCAAGAAAACCACGGAGCACTAGGATCAGTTTCGTGAATTTTCGACTTTCACGGATGTTCCGGATCTTTTGGAGGCCAGTCCATACCCATCAAGGTCCATGTTTATGTCAGGACCTCAAATTCATTCTATCATCTCAGTTCTTAGTGTTTTTTTTTCCAAAAACTGCGAAGCTCTAGGATAATTTTCATTGATTGACCACTTCCACGGATGTTCCGGATCTTCCGGAGGATGGTCCTGTGGACATCCAGGTTCATGTTAATGTTACTAGCCCAAATTATTTCTATACTCACAGTTCCTAATGTTTAAAAAAACGCGAAGCTCTAGGATCAGGAGAGTGGATTTACTACTTTTACGGATGTTCCGGATCTTCCGGAGGACGGTCTCATGGCCATCAAGGTCCTAACCCAAATTCATTCTTATATCACAGATCCTAATGTTAAAAAAAAACACGGAGCTCTAGAATCAGTTCCATGGATTGTCCACTTTTACGGATGTTCCGGATTTTCCGGAGGACGGTCCCATGGCCATCCAGGTACATGTTTATGTCACGACCCCAAATATTTGTTTATATCACAGTTCCTAATGTTTTCAAAAAAACCGCAGAGCTCTAGGATCAGTTTCATGGATTGATCACTTTTACGGATGTTCCGGATCTTCCGGAGGACGGTTCTATGGACATCCAGGTTCATGTTTATGTCACAAGCCCAAATTCTTTCTATCATCAAAGTTCCTAATGTTTATAAAAAAAAAATGCGGAGCTCTAGGATCAGGATCGTGGATTTACTACTTTTACGGATGTTCCGGATCTTCCGAAGGACGGTCCCATGGCCATCTGGGTCCATGACCCAAATTCATTCTTATATCACAGATCCTAATGTTAAAAAAAAAACACGGAGCTCTAGAATCAGTTTCATGGATTATCCACTTTTACGGATGTTCCGGATCTTTCGGAGGACGGTCCCATGGCCATCCAGGTACATGTTTATGTCACAACCCCAAATATTTGTTTATATCACAGTTCCTAATGTTTTCAAAAAAACCGCAGAGCTCTAGGATCAGGATCATGGATTGACCATTTTTACGGATGTTCCGGATTTTTCGAGGACCGTTCCGTTGTCTCCAGGATCCATATATAGGAACCATGACTGTATTCTGGCTAATTGTGATCATTTGTGCCCATTAATCTAAATTACAGATCTTGCGCCACTTGCAAAACCCTACAAACACACCTTTCAAAAAACGTGTAACAACTCTTTTCGCTTTTTAAAAAAGTAGACGACTCTATTTTCAAGTTTTTTGCAATCAAAATCATCTAGAAACCCTAGGAATTCTAAAGGTACCAAAATTTTTGAAATTCATTAATAAATGGCTAAGTTGTGCCATTTCAAACTTGCCGTTACACGTTTTTCGGAGGCTTCGTAGTCGGCGTAAAGTTTTTTACCCACCGTATTCGGAGTGTTAACAAAGATCATTTAGGCCAGGATGGTGGATCTCAGAAATAACGATTTTGCTAGTAAGATCCGCTCTCTCCCAGATTGTGCAGCCCTTCTGGAAACTTACAACAATTCTTCAAAACAAGTCTAGGCCCATTCCACCACTGACCTCACTGGATCGTCCCGGCGACCCAGTGGTTCATCTGATAACTCCTGAAGAGAAGGCTGCCGCGATAGGTCAACACTTCGTCAGCTCCCATAATCTCGGACAAAACATCGTCAGCCCTCATGAATCTGAGGTTGCTGAAAATGCTACCAATATTCTTCAGATTCCTAACATTTTTCCAGAGGAATCCGAGATTACGGCTGACGAACTGTTGGCCTATGTCAAATCATCTATAAACATGAAGGCCCCAGGTTTCGACAACATCCTGAATCTGGAACTCAAGCTACAACCATCTGGCACTGATTTTTAATCTGGTGCTTCCGACTTGGCTACTTCCCATCGTGCTGGAAGTCAGCTAAGGTCATACCCATTCGGAAACCTGGGAAGGATCCGACCTCTCGTTCAAGTTATCGACCAATCAGCCTTCTCTCAGGGTTATCAAAACTTTTCGAAAGTTCGGCTCCTAACATCTGCCGAAGAAAACAACTTGTTACTCGAGGAACAGTTTGGTTTTCGGAAAGGTCGTTCGACCGTCCACCAGCTGACTCGAGTAACAAACATTCTCAGGCGGAACAAGTCTGTTTCGAAAACATCTACCATGGCGTTGTTGGACGTTGAAAAGCGTTCGACAATATCTGGCATGAAGATAATTAGCAACTATCTATCGAACAGGACGTTCTGAGTCTTTCTGAATGGCATCACATCGGATGCTTTTAACATTGGTGTCGGGGTTCCACAAGGAAGCATTATTGGCCCCATTCTATTCAACCTGTTCACCTCAGATATGTCGGCTCTCCCTGATGGTGGATCGCTGTCTCTGTTCGCAGATGACACATCCATCGTCTACAAGGGTAGGGTCATCGGAGCTCTGACTGCCAATCTTCAGAGAGGCCTGGACGTCCTGTCTGGATATTTCAACAGCTGGAAGATCCGTATCAACGCGGCAAAGACCCAGGTCATCATATTTCCACACTCTAAATCTCCCAGACTTGTTCCGTCGGTGAATAATAAGATCTGCCTGAACGGCTCAGTGGTGGAATGGTCAAAAGAGGTAGTCTACCTCGGCTTAACACTAGACAGCAAGCTGATTTTCAGGGAGCACGTTGACAAAACCAAAATCAAGTGCAACATCTTGATAAGATCGTTGTATCCACTCATCAACAGGAGGTCTACCCTGTCCCTGAAAAATAAGCTTGCTGTCCACAAACAAATCATCCTTCCCGTAATTAGAATACGGGATGCCAATCTGGGAGAGTTGCGCAAAATGCCATCACCTTAAACTCCAAAGGATCCAGAACAAGATCCTTAGGATGATCCTAAACAGTCCCCCGCGAACTAGAAATTCTGAGATCCACCTCCTGCCTAGAATTCAGACATTAGAAGAACGGAGAGTATTCATCCTGGAAAGGTTCAGAGACACCTGTCTGAGATCAAATCATCAGATCATACGTGATCTAGCACGTTAGGCTAAGTTATACTCGTAGTTAGGTAGGTTATCATTTTTTTCAGTTCAAACAAAACACACGCCCAAAGGGGTATTCTGTATATTAGTTGAAAAACGCAAATATTAAATTAGAATATCAAATTAAACAAAGATGAAGAGCCAGGTAGGTTAATCAATTAAAATGTTAAATCAATGTACCATCATCAACAGAAAAAAACATAATTTTACTACTTTTATTCGTGGACGGCATTCTTGTAACGAATTTTGGAGGAGACGGACGTACAGAAGAAACAGCAGCATCAATAGCTGCAGGATTGGAAGCAGCCGCAGCCGTGGATGCTGTACCATTAATTCGTGTAACCGTGGCTAAGGCTGATAAGCTCGGCATGGCACGAGCTGAACTGCTAACGTTGAAAGCCAAATGCGAACTCGTGAAATCTCTGGTAGAATGTGACGCCAAAACTGATTGATAAAATGGGTCCATTGAACAGTTAACGTTCCCGTCTATTCGTAACTTTTCTTGTCAGAATTAACATGCTGAATTTTAATGACTCTTTCATCCATTTGTTACCAAATCAAGCTGAGATTTGATGTGAGTTTTTAAATGCAAAATAGTAACTCTCAATTTTAAGAAATAATTACTTTTTAGTGACTGTCTTTAAAATAGTGACCTGCTACCAGCCCTGCTAATCAAGGTATCAGGATTCTTCAACGCACTTAGTTCACTAACAAAATCAACTTCAAACGGTCACTCAGAAAGGAATCTGAGAGGGTAGTTCGTACCCACAAGGATGTGATATTCTCAACGTACCGGTTTTTTTCCAGTAAACTTTTTTTTTCAGAAATTCTCTAATATTGCATTGTGGTTTATTCTTATTCGTGTATCCTTTTTTTCATGCGGCTTACCCCTCTTCTCTTACAAGGGATACCTAGTCTGAAGTTTCCGTACCTATTTTGACTTTTCATCTTTTTACGAAATTCCCATACGAACCACCGACAGAACTATTTTGACCTAGTGTGTGTGTGTGTGTGTGTTTGTGTATTTATTTTTGTATCTCCTATCAACAGAAAAAAAACTCTTTCTTCTACCGTAAATTGTTGTGTGGTTTAATCATCTCCTATCGTGTCCGCTATGTCTATGTGTTTATCCGTATGTGTTGTATACCTATGGCTTTTCATAAACGACCTATCTCTTCGCTTTGCATTAGTTTTATAATTATTATACCATCTCTGACAATCCCTTTCTCAAGTTTAAAACTCCTTTCCTCTCTCAATTAATTAGTTACTTATTCATTTGTTATGAATCATTTTCAATTCTAATAGTGTGTGTGTGTGTGTGTATTTTCTTACGTGTTTTTGGGAGTGTTTGTGTTTGTTTATATCAGTGTGTGTATTGGTGATAAGCTCATTGAAAAAGGGAGCACTGTTCCCTGTAGCCACAAGCATTAAATTTCACAATTTTACCTACAGAGGAATAGAAATACAGTGCCTAACGGGGTTACGAGGATTTCTTTTCTAGCTGAAAGGAAAGTTATAAAAACTTATGTTTTGAAGCATCGGAATTAACTGAATTTACCATACCTATGCCTAATTTGAACTGAAGTTTATACAAAAGTGTAAGCAGCTGAAGTAGTATTTATTAAGGCAAGAGGATTTATGTTCAAGCGAGTTGCAGTGATCTGGTGAGTAACTTTGTTTTCCAGTTCGTTAAGCGAGCTCGAATGTTTCGAGAATAAACGAAACAGCACTAGGTTACGTTTGATTTTTGTTCTGTTCTTGGAAAACTATGGCGAATTCGATCAAATGCATTTCCAACCTATTGCAGAATGCTACGGTTTATTGGACTTGACTGGGGGTGGAAAGTTTTCTTAAATCAATATTTTAGGACTTGCTTACGCTAAGTAGAAAGTTTTTTTTTTCACTGATTTCATAAACTTTTACAGCAGTTTCAGTTTTCTTTTATACTCACAAACGTTTCGTTTCTAAAAAGCGACTATTTCTTAGTATTCAAAATCAATTGATTTATTCAACAACTAACAACAACTAGTTATGTCCATCCCTTGTCCACGTCTAACGCGTGTGTGCTAACTCTCATCTGGTTTGCCTTCCTATCAATCTCGCTCCATCCATCAATCATTAATTAGTTATTATATATTACTTCATTTAAAAATTATTAAATCTCTACGGATCAATCACGATTAGGATAACACAATCACACCTAATTTGTAACATTCACCCACTTCAAAGCGACATCCTAAATGGTGTAAGCATTTCCGGTATAATTTGAACCGAAACGAAAAAGGAAACGAAAAAACATTGGGAGACAATTTATTGTCTTCGTCACACCCCCCTCATCATCAACAACCGGTTCCATTTGTAAAGTCGTTACAAAACTGAGAACACAACCCCAGAAGAACATAAAAAAAAAACACCCATACGGAAAGCTTAGGATCACAAACAATTGATAACAGTCACGCTGGTTTTTCGCAAACAACCCGCAACTCACTCACACCCACACTCATACATCCATAACGTCTTCAAATTACCCACCTATCAGTGGGTAGTAGTTCATCCCCTCCTAGTTGAAACTATCGTTCCAACGTTCCGCCGGCAGGTTCGTGGTGAACTGGGTGATGCCATTGTTGGCCATCGATTCAAGCACCGCGCTAACGTAGACGGACACATCGGTATGGCTCTTCTCGGCGCGCTGTATGAACGGGTGCTGGAGCAGTTTGCCATACTTCGGTCGGTCCTTTTCGTCTTTGATTAGGCTGATCAAAAGAGCAGAAGGTTGGATCATGCATTTATGCTACTACAGTAGTAGTGTTCACACTTACCAGGTATTTACAAAATTTACAAAGTCCAACGAAAATTCCATGTTGTTGTAGGACTGCGACACCCGAGGTGGATCGCCTTCGACGACCTGCAAGTGTAGGAAAAGGCCTTGTTCAGTTAGGTTGAGATATCGGAACCCTGCTCGGAGAGAACCTCCAGGCGGGTAAGTTATGACACCAAAAGCATTTGTGTTTCAAACCACCGTACAAAATTTTATGTTTGGTGCTCCTCCGCTTAGTTTTGTATTGTAAAAGAAACCTTGGATCTACGTAGACTAAAATGCATAATAGTCGAGGTCCACGCCAAACGGGGAAGCTGTTTTCAAACGCTTCCGGTCGCCATAAACGACCTAATATGAATGACCATTTTGAATATTCAATAAAGAAGGGATTATTTCAAGCTGAACATTGCATTAGGTCCTAAGTAACATTGACAGATTATCTTCGTCGACTTTCTTTTTGTATACCCACGGCCATGTAAAGATATGCACAGGTATTTGCAGCACACAAATCGATAAAAGAAGCTTTTAACTAGCATCTAAAAGGACAAACACAACAAGACACGGTTATGTGCTCAAGTTATTAACGAAAGAGAAAGTCGACGAAGAGAATCGATCAATGTTACTTAGGACCTAATGCAATGTTCAGCTTGATTTTCAATTTTTCAAAAATCCATTAAAGGGTCATACTCCCTTCTTTGGTGATTTCCGGATGGTTTGTTGGACTTGTCCACCCTGCGAAGGTTTATGTAATAGTCAATTCTTCCAGTGACAATTTCGAAAATAATTCTGTCAATATCGCGTAAAAATTTGCAATGACAATCACAATGGGACATGGCCATTTGCGACGAAACTATTAAGTGTAATATTTTGATGTCTTCTAAAATATTTATTCATTTTATGAGCCCTCTATTTGAGTAGTGAAATTTTTTGCTTAAGGGGGGTATACACTCAGATAAAAAAAATACTTTTTTATGTCTTGTTAAAATTGATGAACATCTATGGAAATATTGTAGATGAAGTCATTTGAAGAAACTTCGTCACACACCCGGAACACCAATTACATTCAGCCGAAGCTTCCAAAAGACGTCGAATTCGCTGACACAGCAATCGAAATATCGGGTCTGGTGGACACCGAAACGTACAGCAAAGCACCGACCAGACTCTGGTAACGCTCGCCGGATGGCATACACTCCTCCTTCTTTTGCTTCACGTTTGGATACCCAGGATCCATGACCTTTCAGCAATCTACTGTTGAACCTGGCATTTTCGTCGACTTTGGGTCCAATTTCCTACGCTTCTCTTTTGGGACCCACACGTAGGCTTGTGATCCGAACAATCGAAGATGGGTGACGTCTGGTTTCTCTCCAGTCCACAGTTCGTATGGCGTTTCCGGCACGGCACTTGACGGCAAACGGTTCTGGAGGTAACACGCTGTGTTTGCTGCTTCGGTCCAGTCTTGCTTTGGCATTCTGGCATCAAGCAGCATATACCTTCCCATCGCAACTAACGAACGATTTTTTTCTTTTCAGCTACTCCGTTCCGCTGGGGCGTGTGGCTGGTACTAAACTGCTGCCGAATGCCCTCTTGACGACAAAAATTCTCTAGTTGCTGGTTCTTGAACTCACCACCTTGGTCCGATCGAATTACTTTCGGTGACCTACCGAACGTTGTCTTCATCTCCTGCACATATTGCTTGATGTAATCAACTGCTTGCGACTTTTTCTTCAAAAAATACACCAGCGAGTACCGCGTGAAGTCATCAGTGGTAATCGCCATTAAGTACCGACATAGATCCGTGTGCACGAGGTCGAGTGCTTGCTTCTTGGATTGCTTGGGGAAAGGGAGCCGGGCAAACTTGCCCTCCAAACAACACTCGCACACAGCTTTAACACCACAGCTCACCATTTTGATCCCGGTAGCCAGATTCTTCGATTCCAACTCGGCGACTGCTTCTGGGTCTCTGTGGCCGAACTTCCGGTGCTACGCGTGCTGACAATGCTCCGAGTGACTATTGCCGTTGGCCATATGCGCTCCGTGGGTGATCCGAAGGTTGTACAAACCGCCAGATACCGAACCAAGAGTTATAACCTTGCTGCCCTTGGAAATCCGACACACTGCATCGTCAAAAATGACAGTGGCTTCGTTGCAGATCGTACAGAGAGCAGATTCGATTCAAGATCAGGGACAAACAGCGCATCACTGAATACGACACATTCCTTTTCCAGCCGATTTGGTCTTCATTCCGTTCGCCAGCACGATGTCTTCGGAGACGGACTCGTCCAGTGACTCGAAAAACTCTTTGTTGGCTGCCATGTGGGACGTTGCACCAGAATCAACCACCCACAAGTTGACGTCACTGCCTATGGTTGCCATGAAAGCATAGGAACCACTTCGAACTGCCTTCGTCTTCGTAGGTCTGCTGGCTTGCTTCGAGTCATGTTTCTTTGGTGGTTCTGCATCCTTGCTCTGGGCCAGCAAACGACAATCCTTCAGCTTGTGGCCAACTTTATGGCAATGGTGGCAAACGATTTGCCTCTTCGTACCTGGCTTCAGTACCGAATGTGCACCACCGGCACAATTAATCATATTGTCGAGCAGTTTTGAGACGACCTTCTACCAGCGATTTTCCGGAAATGAAACAATAAATTCCAGATTTTTCAAGCATATTACAAATAAGACCCTATTTTCTCGAGCTTCGAGAAGAAAAAATATCAAAATATTGTTCCACGTTAAAGTTCGAGTGGTAGGAAACGTCATTTTAAACTGCTCGAATGATATGATCCATTACGCTTCACTACCTCGTCCACCACCTTCGTCTTGACTAGGTCGAACGTTAGGTCAGCATCAGAACGGCTTTCCAGTGCCGTTGTAAGCGGATTGAAAGAATCCGGCCCATCGCAACTTGCAAATTATCATCCAGCACCTGGCCTGCTATCGACAGCCGTTCGAATAGATCTTGCATCTCGGTGATGTGCTTGTCGATTTCCTCCCCATGGGTGTACCGCATGTCGCAAAGTTTCTTGAGGATGGATACCTTCGACGTGAGCGTCGTACGCTCGTAGTTCCTTTCCAAGTTCTATTACGCTTCTTTTGACGTAGTTGTGTCCTGGATCAGATTCTGTTTGCTGTCGTCTACCAGAAGACCGATTGTATGCCCTTGCTTTCTGGTCACATTTTCGCCACACCGCTACCACTGCTGCGTTCGCTTCCGTTTGTACTGGACACGTGCCAGTCACGTACTCCCAGAGATCCTCTCGAACCAGCAACAGCTCAACTTTAAATTTCCAGCTGCTGTAGTTGCTTCCGTTTATCCGTGGGACACCCAATTTCTCGATTGTGGCCATCTCCGGCTATGAAAAAACGACGGAACACTTCCGAATGCGACTAACTTACGCACGGCGGCAAAAAAATCACTCTGTTAAACTAACCTGGGCCCATAACCTCTTGAGAGGAAAGTAAAATAGAGCGACGACAAAAGAAGAACGAATTTTATTCAAATAACTCATGGCTAACTTAGACCTATTATATTGCTACACTGCAGCTCTTCACGTTGTTAAATGCACCGCTTCACAAGCAGTATTTGAGTGCTGATCAACATGGGTTCACTGTCGGCGGCTCTACAACCACCAATCTACTGTGTCTCACATCGTTCAAACGGATGTTATTGTACCGAAACCCCCACCACCGGGATTTAAATTTTGTAATTTTAACAAGGACATTCCGCCACTTCCGGGATCATCTAAAACACCAGATATCCCAGTTTTTCAGCCAGAAAAACAGCTGAATAATCAGCAAGAACATGATGCCATGTTCACGTTTTCTGGAATTGTGGAGAGCATCTTCAATATATTCAACGTCTCTGACTCAACTAGGAACATTATTAATTTAGTGCTTCCATTTGTGAAAACTCTTCCTAAGCAACTAGCTTCTATGTGGTCCTTCCTTGCATCGATCATATCCTTTGATGGATAATTTTCCGAATGAAGTCGGGGATATGATCTCTGTTCTTCAGTGGAACTGTAGAAGTCTTATACCGAAACTTGACACATTCAAATTTTTAGTTCACAACTCACTTTGTGATGCATTTGCTCTTTGTGAAACATGGCTTTCTTCAGACACCGATCTCCCTTTCCACGATTTTAACATTATTCGCCTTGATCGAGCAGATTCGTATGGAGGGGTGCTTCTCTGGATTAATAAGCTCCATTCCTTTCATAGAATCGATCTGCCTTCCGTGACAGGCATTGAAGTTGTCGCATGTCAGGTAAATATTCGAGGTAAACGCCTCAGTATTGCCTCAGTATATCTTCCTCCGACAACTGCGACTTCTCGCCAAGATCTCTCAGATATCTGCTCAGCTTTACCTGAGCCTCGGTTGATCTTAGGAGATTTTAACTCCCACGGTACAGGCTGGGGGGAACGTACGATGACAACCGCTCAACCCTGATACACGACCTTTGCGATAACTTCAATATGACAATTCTAAACACTGGGTAAGTAACACGAGTGACCAAACCTCCAGCAAGAGAAAGTAGATTAGACCTCTCCCTCAGTTCGAGTTCACTATCGTTGGATTGCTCGTGGAAAGTAATTCAAGATCCCTACGGTAGTGACCTCAACGGTAAAGCAGCCGAAAACGAAGGTGGCACGGCAACTGACCTTGGAGCACGCGCAGAAGACGACAGGCTACCGGCCCCTGATCTTGAGGAGGAGATCGGTCGGCTGAAGAACAACAAAGCAACTGGTGTAGACCAACTACCAAGTGAGCTATTGAAATACGGTGGTGAAGCACTGGCTAGAGCGCTGCACTGGGTAATTGCCAAGATTTGGGAGGAGGAGATATTACCGGAGGAGTAGATGGAAGGTGTCGTATGCCCAATCTACAAAAAGGGCGACAAGTTGGATTGCTGCAACTACCGCGCGATCACACTGCTGAGCGCCGCCTACAAGGTACTCTCCCAAATTCTATGCCGCCGTTTGTCACCATATGCAAGAGAGTTCGTGGGGCAATACCAGGCGGGATTCATGGGTGCCCGCGCTACCACGACCAAATTTTCGCGATTCGGCAGGTTCTGCAGAAATGCCGC